ACGCACGAATTGTCGATGAACCGGCAATATTACCCGTATATTAGACGGAAGGCCAGTCAGTTGGCTGAGTTCGAGACATGGATGCATGGGTGGACGTAGGGAAGAGCAAAAAGATGTGAGGTCACGGTCGTGACGAGCTTCTCTACTTGTACGTAAGCGCTGCTAAGAACATCCCTTCCGTATTTTGAGACGGCCAAAGAAAAGGAACTGTGAATCTCCTGCCTTGAAATGCAGGCTCCCGTTTCCGCGCGTTTCCGAGGGTTGCCCAGCCTCCGAGAGACAGAAAACCGGATCAGTTTTGCTCGAGTTTTGCTCTTGGGGATTCCGCGTGGGCGTCAGGGAACCTGCTTCCAGCAGGTCAATGAACGGGCTCAACGACGGTTTGAGTTCCGATTCTGAGGCAGTTGGGCAGCAGCGGAGAAAAATGGAATGGGAGCATGGAGGGACTCACGGCACCCACGGTCCGCCACGGATCGACTGCGGCCTGATCGTACCGGGTATATGCCGGCTGATTACCGGAGATGCCGAGCCCTCGAGGCCGATAAAAAACATTATTCCGCAGCTCATTTCATTTCGACGCCTTTCAATCCTGAAATGAAACGGAAGACCGGTTTAGCTCTGCAGAATTCCAAAAATAATTTTTCAGGTTCCTTCTTTTGCGCTGAAAATCAGGCCCTGGTTGTTGTCACATATCGAGATGCTTAGAACACTATACTTATGTAGTCCTGTGGTTACCACGCTATCGTAGTAGGCGACCAGGGTTATTATGTAACCTTTCCATTTTAGGAAACCACGTGAGTGGTCTATTAACGCGTTCTGACCTGTTCTGACGCGGCGCGAACACAAATATGCGCGTTTTTATATCCCGAATGTTTGCTATTGTATGACACAATATATCTGCGGTCAATCTGCGGGGAAGACTGGCTAAACTACTGAAATTACAACTTCCTGCCTCGTTTCGGCCGAAAAGAGCGCTTGATGTCCGAACTGCGCGCAGGAAGGTCCCGGACCTTTTAATTCTCGGGTGGGACACTTGGGAGGATGTCCAATAACTCTTGTTACAAAATACCACGCCTTCTTGGCTGTCGACGCGTGAAATAGAGTAAAATACTCGCGTTGTTTGGTTGTGCATCGACCATCAATTTTGATAACGTTGGACGCCGCTTAGTTGACGCGGTAACCAAGGGGATCCCATTACCCGAAATATATACCCCGACTCAATATTTTTTTTTCAGCTCAGTGGCTTGACCCCCCCCCCTCGTGGGAAATTGCCTTTTTGGGAAGTCCCCTATGTACCGTTTCGCCTCAGAACACACAACGGGTCGGAAGTTTGGGCACAAACACAAAGTGGTTAGTGCTTGTATCACAATTGAGGTGTTTCCAGACCATCTTGACTCATTTTCAAGTTACTTTTATTTTTCGGACTGCGTCGGCAAGGATTGATGGATTGATGGCGACCGCATTGGGTGTGGCTATACACTCACGTACACATTTCCACGCCCAAATATAGGAATAATCTTTTGCTCTCTACCTCAAGAACGGCCTCAAATGAGGCCGGGATGCCCTATACAATTGTGCTCAGAGGGTCAAACTGGACCATCCTGGAGGTACATTGAACCACTCCTGAAATGGGAGCCCCTTGGCGGTAACTAACAGACTCTATAACGCGAGGTATGAGCGCATTCTTATAGAGCGTCTGTCTAGAGAGACTAATACTTATGCACATGCAGAAGAGCGAGCCAACGAGTTTTCCAAGGCGGTGCGCATTTCACGTAACCTGTTCATCTCCTTTGACCATCCACGCCCCATCATGTGGTTCTAAAATTCCAGGAACATTGTATCATTTCCTGGTACATTGAACATCTAGCCAAAATCTCGCTTGCGCTAGACTCGAGCGCAGGCGGAGTTCACCCAAACACCCAAAGTTGATGACAGTCGATCAACAGGTGATGGGCGAACCTTTATATTCGGACCCGAACCCCACTTTGAACTCTATTTTTCCAGATTTTTCCGTGGTAGATATGATACACCCGGTAGCAGTATATCGTCAGACATAAGCAAGCGAACTGTGCGCCAGCAACCGTATCATCTTCTCCACCCCGCGCGCCTTCCGCTGCTTGTTCGTCAGGTCCGCATTAATCAGCTCGACGAGCCCCTGTCCGACTGCCTCCCGCAGCAACCGCGTCCACCATCCACCCTTCTTGGGCATCCCCGGCACGTAGTCCTTCGCCCATACCCAGAGGAGCGCGGACTTCGCTTTACTGAGACTCACAGGTGCATCTGCGGCGCCGCTGCGTGAGAGCCAGACGACGAGAAGCTGGAGGTGCCCGGGTACCGTGTGCGCGCCTGGAACGGACGACTCTGCGATCGCTGGGGCAGATGGTGCCGGAACAGCCCAAGTGGACGCTGCGAATGGCATGGCATGGGCCACGGTTGGTGTGTGAGCGGCTGTCGATGACCGGGACGTTGCAGGTGTCTGCGGTGAGACGCCTTGAGGCGGGGCGCCTGCAATCACAGGCAAACTGCGTCCCACAGCCAGCAGCGACGCCCCGCCATCCCGTGTCAGGCGCGGGCGCACCCGCAGCTTTAGATGATGTCTGCCCAAGAGCCCGACGCCGCCCCGCTCATCCGCCGTGATCACGGCAGCGGGAGAGAAGACCAGCGCGTGGCCGGTGGGAAGCAGCATTACCTGCTGGTACCACGACGCTGACGCAGCCGCAGAGTCGCTGCCAGCAGAGACGTGGCGCGCGAGATGCGCGCACCACGCGGGCGAGGAGAAGCGGTGGCATACAATAATGGATGCGAGGTCGAGTATCGCGGGCGGAATGACACTGGGCTCTTGCGTAGCGATGATCACCCGTGTGGCGAGGTGCCGCTGGAGGCGGATTGTGTTGCTGATGGACTGGGTCAGACGGGCGGAGTCACTATTTTGGAGGTACTTGTGCGCCTCGTCGAGGACTGCGAGGGAGGACATGGGCAGTTAGAACCGATGCAGAGAAGTGTGGAGAAAAGAGGGTTCGAGCGCACCGACGAGCTTTCCACACACGGTTTGCCATTGTGTGAATGTTCCGAGGACGATGTCGAAGAGCACGGCCGCGGTGAGGCCTGACGGCATGTTAAGGCATATCCTGACAGGACAACGTGGAGTCACTCACTATCGAGAAACGGGTCCGTGAGGGCGACAACGACGAGTCCTCCAGCAGTGAAGTAGAATTCAATGTCGGGTGCTCCTGGGCGAAGAAACGCATCCAAAAGGTCCAATCGAAGCTTAATCATCGCCCGCTGTGTAAAATTGAGATGTTCGAGGTCAAGCCGGCGCTTGAATTCTGGACCAAGCGAGTTAGTGCTTAAACCTGAACAATGCGCCTGCCAACCAACCTTGATAGCTAAACGCATCGACACCCATATTGCGGATGATAAGTAAGGCGGTGTGCATGTAAAGCGGCATTGTCTGTCCAATAGAAAAACTGGTCAAGAGTTGTGTCGGCGAAGCTGGGGAGATAGACCTCAATGTTATCACAGCCCATAATTGCAAGCATTCGGTCGGCTGTGAGGTCTTGTTCCGACAAGTACAGCGGTTCGACGTTCACTTGGTCTAGAGAGGCGTAAGCCCGCCGTCGACGGTTGACGTTGCTCGGTCTTGAAACTGATTGAGTGATGGAAAAAAACGCACCATGAAAAGTACGTACGAGCAAAGAACCGTAACCCGAGGCAGAGCAGCCTGATGAGCTGCTGCCGGCGAAGAGAGGAAGGCCGCCTCGCAAGGGCGACCAGCGTCTTGGGTATCGAAGTGGAAACTGCAGGAGATTGAGCCCAAGTCGTTCGCGGAGCCAATAAACGCGCGCACACAAGAGCACTTAGAGGCTCGGGAAGCTGGCCGATACGGGAATCCCGGATGAGGGCACACTCGAGGAGGCAAGAGACGGTATGACTCTTCCCCGAACCCTGAAAATAGGCTGTGAGTAAAAATCAGGGGACGGAAACGCTGAGACGAACCTGGACACCACAGATCACAGCGCTGCTTGGTGTGTTCGTGTTGACATAGACCCGGTCACCTGCACTGGTTCCGAGGAGTCCACGAGATGGAAAATCTGACGCACGCTGCTTGAGTGCAGAGTAGGTCAACAACGGGGACGTGACTAGCTGATGCTGAAGAAGGTTCGAATCGTTGTCTGGCTCAGCCAATGTCGCAGTCTGGAGGAAAGATAGCTCTGCGTCGGGAGGAGTCATTGAGAGTGAAACCAAGTGGTCCTGGGTGGAAACAGGTAGTGAGACCAAGGGCAGCTCGAGGTGGATTTATAGACACTGGCAGACTGCGCAAGGCAAGGACAAAGAGCCGTTGCAGAGTGTGCGTCGACAATGTGGCGGCAACGCGGCCGTTCAGGCTGAGTCTAGAGTTAAGCGCCGCCGCAAGTCGAGCGCAAGCTAGGCTGATGAGGGAGGGTTGATGGTGGGCGGAAGGAAGAGTAACGTGACACCTGCGTTTTGTTTGGGCAGACAACAAAGATGCGCACGGACCTCTTCTCTTCTCTTCTCTTCTCTCTCTTTATAAAATTAAGCATGTCCGAAGCCTTTAAACTCCGCTCTGGGAACTTTGGGCCCGAACATTCGGATGGATCAATTCTTTCAGCCCTGCCGGCCCCCGGCTACGCAATTGCGCAAGTTGCCCACCAAAATGAGCTGCAGAAGCAAGCAAGCGGGAGCCGGCGCTTCGCGCCGGCGAGGGCTTGTTGTATAAGAGAATAGATACATATTCCCACGCAATTCCCACGCTTTCATTAGGTCCGCCTTGGCCCTTTTTTTTCATACCTTCCCTGGGTCCTCGGGGAGAGTATAGTTCCCCTCCAAATCTCTACGCGATAGTGGGGAACCCCCACTCATCACGCAGGCAACATTTTGTTAAACCACGAATGAAACCGATCAATTCAAAAAGAAACAGAAGTGCGGGTGAGTTGAAAAAGAAGTTCAAGACTTACTGTATCAAGAAGTGGGTGAAGAAAGCGGATATAGTGCATGGTGCACGATTGCTCTCAGTTGTCGAATGGCAACCAAGAATCATGTTGACGCAATTGAATGGGGTTCGATTCCCCGTATCCGCATGCTGAGTTCTTCAATGTCTTTTTCTCCATCCTGCTCACTCGCGCGCGGAGGTCGCTAACACACCAGACATAATATCATTGTTCGACCATCAAGAAAGAAAGCACAGGGCAATGTGGTAGGTTGAAGAATATTGAGCACCGACCACCCATAGAGTGGCATCATTTGTTGAAGTAGCGCATCGGGGTTTAACTCGCCGCGTCCCTATGTTCTCCGGGTCTTTTAACATCCCAGGCGCAGTTCAAGGTCATTGAATGCATTTGGATCATTCAACAAAATGTTATCCGAGGCCCCTGTTTATTAAAAGCTAGAAATAAAGTGATACACCTATTGGGCCGAGGTATAAAAGCCGGAACGCGGATGTAGTGCATGGTGCACCACTACTAGGACTACTTGAAGAGGCTATCTGTTTAGTCGGCACTTTGATGGGGTTCGACTCCCCGCGTCCGTATGTTCGTACGATCTTCAAGCCTTGTTCCCCATACAACCTGTCCTGGAGCCTCGGGAGAACATCGCCTGATGTAGATCCCAACCTGAACAAGGGAAACCATGCCCGGCAGCCCAAGAACCAACTCAAAGGAATCACATAAGAAAGAAACAAGTTCAGAAGTGTGGGTGAGTTCAAGAAATGTTCAACGCTTACTAGGGCTCCAACCGTTTATTTACCGTTTAAAACCGTTTTAATTACCGTTTTTGGACTTTTTTTGACCCAAATCACAAAGATTCCGGGGGATTGGAGCTGCCAAATCAAGAATTGGACCTAGAAGTATACCCCCATAAAGGGAAAGAGGTGGGCCGTTACCGAGTCGGCCGGGGCCGGCCACTTTCCATCACCAACAAACGTTTACGGGCCTGTATCATAAACGGTTATTTCCCGTGGATTCGGACACACCTGACCTTTTCGTCAAAAAGAAGTCAAAACTAAGACACCAAAGTCTTAGGAACACCGACCTTAAATCGTGGGTTGCCGGTTGCCCGTAAACGAAAACGGTTGGAGCCTTAACGTCGCTTACTGCACCGAGAAGCGGGTGAAAAAAGCGGATATGGTGCATGGTGCACGATTGCCTCAGTATTTCGCCCTCGCCACTCTGCCAGTGAAGCAATCGATCAGGGTTCGATTCCCTGCGTCAGCATGGGTCAGCCCTCGATTTTCGATTTTTCTTTGCTTTCTTCCTGAATTAGACCATTTTGGCCCGAGTCCTTTGACCATACATCACACTAATCAATACTCTAACCTAGTCTCTTATAAACAGATACTACAACTAAAAACTCGTACCTCGTTTGTTGCAACTCTAACCCAGAACCCGCGCAACAATATCCGGCGCTTTGACCACGCGTGGGATCCATCACCCGCTTAACGCCATCGCGATCGACAACGTTATCTGATCTCATTCCACCACCACCACAGTGACCACTTCACCCAACTCACCAACGATGCCCGCGCCCGCAGAACTCCTCTCGTGGGTCGACGCCTCGAAAGACGCGTTCATCGCCCGTCTGTCCCACGCCGTCTCCATCCCCTCCATCTCCGGCGATCCCGCGTGCAAGAGATGTCCGACTGGCTCAACGTCGACCTCAACAAAGTCGGCGTCGAGACCAAACAGGTTGACTTGGGGAACCATGTTATGTATGGCCAGACTATGCCCCTGCCCAACGCCATCCCCGGGAAGATAGGCGATGACAAGAACAAGAAGACCGTTCTGATCTACGGGCACTTTGACGTGCAGTCCGCCTCGCTGTCGGACGGGTGGGCCTCCGAGCCATTCGTGCTCACCATGCTCCCCGATGGCCGACTCGTCGGGCGCGGCAGTTCCGACGACAAGGGCCCGGTGCTGGGGTGGCTTGCGGTGCTGCAGTGGCATCACGAGACGCAGACGCCGTTGCCTGTGAACTTGAGGTTTTGCTTTGAGGGGATGGAGGAGAATGGGAGTGAGGGGCTGGATGAGCTGGTGGAAAGGGAGAGGGATGGCTGGTTTGGGGGCGCGGATTGTATGTGTACCGTGAGTCCGCCTTAATTGTATTCTCTCTTTCTTCCTTATTTTGTGGTGGCTAATGGGGAGAGTAGAGCGACAACTACTGGCCCAACACGCGCACGCCCGCGCTCACTTACGGTCTGCGCGGCCTCGTGTACTTCAAGATTAACGTCTCGGGCCCGGGGCGGGATTTGCATTCCGGTGCGTACTCGTCCTTACGATTCTTGCGCCATTTGTTCTCTACTTTTATCTCCTTTATTCTCCGGTTTTGCCTTGTACCAACGTGGTCGCGCGCCTTTGATTCTGCTGGGGCTGCGTATCACCGCGATGCCTCGCCTGTTGCTTTCGTTCGGCGTCTCCGCGTCCACGCCGTCCGCACGCGAGCCTTTCGCTCTTGTACTTTGCAGCGCCCGAATCCGCGCGCTTTCTCCCTCTTCTGTCTCGCGCCGGGATCGGGATGGCTGCGCGCATCGTGTGCGGCAGTCCGCGTGCGATTCTTCGACCTTTTTGACATCGTGTCAACCGGTGGTGCGCGTTCGTGCCTGTTTGCGCCGCGGCGGGGAGCGGCTCTCGTCGTGCGAAGGAGGAAGGAGGATACCGGTATCGTCCTTGCATGCCCGCGCTGCCTATCGGGTCGTGTCGCGGTATCGGCGCATCGCGCATCAAGGCAGATGCGGATATCCCACCGCGTCCGATGCACCCCTTCCAGCCGTTGCGCATGAGCGGTGGCACCAGCTGCATCCATTCTGCGCTGCTCTTTCCGTGCGTTATGTGTTCTCCGCGGCTGCCCTTACACTTCGTACTTGCACTTGCTCCTCGCCTTGGCCTGCGTCCTTACGCCGCGCGCGTCTCTATCTCCTCCCTCTAACCCGTACCTATCGTACCTATGTACTATGTGTGTGCGGCAATGGAGTATTCGTCCGCGCCTTTGGAAGCATGGCGTGTTTTCGCGAGGAGGATGTATTGGCCACGGCCATCGGCGCTCTATCCGCCTTCTCTGGTGTTCGGTGCTTCGGTGCTTGCGGGTGGCTGTTTACCTGCGTAGTCCGCGGTGTTGGAGGGTGGATGCGCGCGAAGACGATGGTGGCGCGGCTTTACTTTTTTTTGGCTTTTTTTTCGTATTGTGGAGGTGCAAAGGCGAGGGGGATAAGCGTCTTTCTGCGCGTTTCTCCCTTGGCGTGTGTCCATGCGCGGTGACGATTTGGATTTACCTAGCCCCGGGCCATTTCCATCTCTATTTGCGGCAGGAAGTGGGACGGACGCCGCCTTCGTCTTTGTATTCAGCTTTGTCTGGGCCTTGTTTTTCTTTTTTTTGGGTCTTCGTGCGCGGTGGTGCGGATGCGGGCCTGCATCCGCCGCGTCTTTCGTGTGCCTCGGCTCGTTGTATGCACCCCACTACGGCCGGAGGCGTTTCGTTTTCGTGGTCTTTGTGCGGAGGAGGATGTCCTCGTCCTCGTCCTCGGTGGTGTCAATGGTCGATGGTATGGCGGTGTCGGCACGAGTTCGCCGTGGTCGTGCTGGTGTAAATGCTTTCTTTGTATGGTCGGCGTCGCGTGGGCTCGAGCTCGCCGTGGTGTCTTTCATGCGCACCCACACGGATTTCTCCGTGACATTTTTTCCGAATATACACGTCGGCGTCGTTCCTCGTGCGCCTACCCGCATGATACGATCTTTCTTCAAGCCCGTTTTTCCCTCCATTCCTCTCCCCCGTTCTCCTTGTTTTCATTTAGTTATCACCGCTTCCAATGTCAATCTTTATTAATCCCCCCTGTTTTTTACCAGGCGTATTCGGCCGCACAGTCCACAAGCCCATGACCGACCTCATCTCCTCATGAGTCGGCTCGTGGACGCGCAGGGCCGGATTTTGGTGCCGGGGGTGGACGATATGGTGTCGGCGGCGGGGGTGGAGGAGCGGTTAGTTTTTTGATTGGGCTTTTTTCCTTTTTTGGCTTCGACACTTGGATATGAGGGCGCGGCGGGTGTGGAGGGGACGTAGAGGGTCGGCGCGAGATTTGCGAGCACCATTGGGGAGGTGCTCGATGGGGCTGCCTTCTTTTTTGTGCGGGTTTCTTGGTGGCGCACGGCGATGTTTTTTTTGAGCGGGGTGGGGAATCGCGGGGGAGAGGTGATGCGCGAGGAGCTGGGCCGGCGCGTGCGAGGTCGAGCGCTCCCGACGGATTCTCTCCATCTGGCGTGTTCTTGTGCGCGTTGCTGCCGTTGTGCTGGAGGCGGTTGGCGGGTGCTGGTGCCGGTCCGTCTCCACAGCCCGCTGCATTTTCTCTCCATCTTGCGCAGTGCATCTTGGAGATGGCGCGGGGTGCGGATGCGCACACGAGGCGTTTTGTTTCCCTGCGCGCGCGCGCCCTCGTGCAGTGCAAGTCGGTATACAGGGCGCGGCGGCGTTTCCTTAGCTCATGCGAATCCGCTCGCACGCGGGCGTGTTTCCTGTATCGTTTGGGTCGCGTTATCATTTACTCTTTCCTTGGGGCGGCGTCTCTTTTTGGCCTCCGTTGAGACACCTATTGGTGTCGGGATCGGTGTCCATTCAGCGCTGAAATGGCCCTATTTTCGGGCGGGGTTCTCGGTGCAGGTGCATCCTCCTCCTCCGCATGCGGCCGCATGGGTGGTATGCAGGGCCGAGATCTCGGTGGTCCTTCATCTTTCATCTATTCCCTTTGGTTTCCGCCCCGGTGTCCATGCTCTGCATTTCCTCCCCACTTCACTTCATCTTTCTGCGCGGTACTGATTATCATTCATTTTAAAGAGCCATCCACGAGAAACCCGACTACAGCATCTCCGATTTCGAGGGCGCCGCGGGAGGCAAGATTGCGTTGTCGGAGGATAAGGTGCGTCTTTTCTATCTTCATTTTACCTTCGGATATATTCTTTGGAGTGCTGCGGGTTTTTTTATTTGCTTTTTCTTCTTATTCTCCCGGTGGGCGATACTGGCGCTCTACACGGTGCAGAATGGGCGGGCAATCGGCCTGTGACGGGGACGAGCTCCACGTGGCGGATGTGCGCGTGCGTTT